TTAATATAATTTTTTTTTATTAATATTTATAAAATAATGATTTAAAATTATTATTATTTTATAAAATTTTATTCTGATTTTAAAAATTCATAATTAATTTTTTTAATGTAAGAGATAATTTCAATTTTTATATTTGTTTTAGAAAATTGAAAATTCGATAATTATTTTTATATCTTTTATTATTAATTAGATTAATATATTAATATTAAATTAATTATTCTAATTTATCTATTTATTAAAATTCAATTATTTTCGAATACAAAAAATGGAGAATGTATTAAAATATGCAATGTATTTTTATTAAACTAATTAAATTAAAAAATTAAAATTGATTATGCTAATGATATATTAATATTTGCATAATTACAATGATCAAGATTATTCTTGTTAATAATAAAAAGTATGAAAATATAATACGTTCTAAATATAGTAAAAAATCAACATATGAAAAAAATAGTATACTACAAAATATAACAACAAGAATAATCGTCATTTTTTGTGACTAGAAAAAATAGATTTTTAAAATAGAAAATTATAAATATATTTAAATATATAAAAATTATAAATATATTTCATTATTAAATATAAATAAATATAATTTATTAGATACTTTAATTGAGATATAACAAATATTTCTAAAAAATAATATTTATATTAAAAAAATAGTATTTTTAATATATTTATATTTCAATATTAATTTGCAAAAATATTTTTTTGAAATAAATATTTCTTTGAAATTGAAATGAAATAAGAAAATTGTATTTAAATAATATATATAATATATTGTATTCAAATATTTGAAATTGGCAATTTTTATTATAGTATTTATTATAATAATTTTATTATAATATATTATAGTATTTTTTTGTAGAAAAACATAAATTTTGTATAAAAAAAACTAGACAATCTAATTATCTTTGATGTCCATTCAATTTGAATTAAACAAAGAATATATATCGAATTTAAGTGTGATTAACAAATAGTATATACCAATATACTATTTGTAATAACAATAGTATATTTGATCTTGGTTTAAATATTAAATAAAATAATTTTTTAGTATTTCGTTTTCGAAAATATTTTATATATTTTCTACTATTTGTTTCAATATGTTTCAAATTTCTCTCATTTACTTTAATAAAAAGATTTTTATATAAAATTTGTATTGTTATACAATTATACAGTTACATATATAGTATATTATACGTTCGATATTGTTACGAATACGACTAATCTTATTACTTTCCAATGCTGGTCTATTCAGGACGTAAGAACGAAGGTGAGTCGTTTCATAACAGTTCCATGGATTGTTCGTGTTTTTTCAACGTTAGGTGGAAATTACATGTTTAGCAATCATTTATTAGTGTGAAAGTGGAGAAAATTAATTGTCTATTATTCTAGAAAGATGTGTGATAATTAGCTATCTCAATGAAACGACGTAATTGTTTGAAGTCTCTGAAATCGGTATTAATAAAAAATAAATAATTACAGTAGACTTTACATCTATGATGTAGAAGTTGTCTGCATTAAATATAATCGTTTAGTTTTCACAAATATTCCTAATAGTATTCATCGTTCTGTATGTCGGCTTTATTATATACGTTATGTATGTGTTTTAGAATAAATAGAATGACAAGAATCATTAAGAAAGGCGAGACAAGATTTTTTCCTTGTGAACGAATATTTGTGAATATATATGATAGTCATAGAATATATAAGAAAGTGTTAAATATTCTTATCATTATTATTACAATATTAATTGGAATGTAAGTGAAATATAATAGTTTATGTTTACAATTCTTAATGTAACTTACATATAATAGCATAGTATTTGATTTGAAATAATTACTTAAAATATTTTATAATATAGTTATATCGGAACATATTATTATTTAATAAAAATCAGCATTTGTCGAAAATTTTTTTTATTTTTTTTTTCAATCATATCTGATAGAATAACTTGTAGATATTGTAATTATCGAAATTAATTCAGGATGTTAATATATTCATAGAATATTTTTGAAGGATCGATTCTAAACAAACAAGCAAGATATATTTATTAAATTGCAAGCAATTTAAATTTGCATTAGATGAAAATAGATAAAAATAGATAAAACTGACTCATTTCCGTCTAATACAATTTTCAATTATTATGTTTAATAAATAAGTCTTTAATTATTAAAAAATAAATATAAAAAATAAGTTTTAATTTAATAAATAATAATAAAAGTAAAAAAATTGATATTATTTAATAAGACTTATTTTTTTATTTTTTATTTATTCATTTATTTTTTTTTAAATTTCTAGAATCTAGATCTTCCAAAGATATCTCACGAAAATATTAGCATTTTGTATATATATATATATATATATATATATATATAGAGAGAGAGAGAGAGAGAGAGAGAGAGAGAG